TAGCCTGGAGCAGTGTTTTTCAAGCAGTAAGACTGTACTAAACTGGCCTTCACTAGAGTGATGTGCTCGTTCTGTTGGATGTGGGAGATTAAGGAGAGTTTCCATGCTACTGATGATTATGTCTGCAGGAAATGCATTTGGTTGAGAATCCAATTGGATCGCATGAATCTGTTGGAGCAGCAGTTAGAGGCAATGAGGAATTTACAGGAGCTAGGGTGTATGATGGATGGCAGTTGCAGGGAGGGAGATAAACCGCAGATACAGCCAGGTTACCTCCAGGAAAGGTAGCAGAGGGAGGCAGGTAGTGCAGGAGTCTCCTGTGGCTATCCCCATCTCAAACAAGTATGCTGTTTTGGAAAATGTAGGGGGTGCTGGATTCTTAGGGGAATGTAGTACTGACAGCCAGGTTTCTGGTACTGAGATTGGCTCTAAGGTAACAAGTGGTATGTCCGGTTCAAGCGATTGATTGCGATAAGGGACTCTCTAGTCAGAGGCACAGACAGACATTTCTGCAGCTGACAGCGAGACATCAGAATGGTGTGTTGCCTCCCTGGTGCTAGGATCAAGGATATTTCAGAATGCTGAATATTCTCAAAGGGGAGAGGGACCAGAAGGAGGCCATTGTACACATTGGAAATAACGACATAGGAAGAGAAAAGGACGAGAATCTGAGGGGAGAATATAGGAAGTTAGGCAGGAATTTAAAAAGTAGGTCCTTGAGAGTAATAATATCTGAATTACTCTCAGTGCCATGAGCTAGTGAGGGTAGGAATAGATAGAGCAGATGAACACGTGGCTGAGGAGCTGATGTGGGGAGAAGGATTCACATTTTTGGTTCATTGGAATGTCTTCTGGGGTAGCAGTGACCTGTATAAGAAAGACGGATTGCACCTGAACTGGAAGGGGACTAATATACTGATGAGGAGATTTGCTAGAATTGCTCAGGAGGACTTAAACTAGGAAGGGGGTGGGGAGGGGTGGCGGTGAGTTGTGCAGACCTGAGGAGATAGCGTGAAAAAAGATCAGTCTGAGACTGGTGCTGACCACTTCTGAAAAAGGGTCCCAACCCAAAACATTGACTTTCCTATTCCTCTGATGCTAACTGACCTGCTGTGTTCTCCCAGCTCCACACTGTGTTAGATTGAGACTGGTGCATTCGAGAAAGAAGCGAGTCAAACAGTCAGGGCAGTCAGGAACAAAGCAGAGAACAAGGTAGGACTGATAAATTTAACTGCTTTTATTTCAATGCAAGAGGCCTGACAACTAAGGCAGATGAACTCAGGGCATGGTTGGCAACATGAGACTGGGTGATATCATAGCAATTATATAGATGTGGCTCAGGGATGGACAGGACTTGCAGATTAATGTTCTAGGGTACAGATGCTATAGGAAGGATAGAAAGGGGGGCAAGAGAGGAGGGGGAGTGTTGTTTTTGATTAAAGATAACATTAGGCTGTACTTAGGGAGGATATACCTGGGAATACTCCTAGGGGAGTTATTTGGGTGGAAATGAGAAATAAGAAAAGGGTGATCACCTTATTGGGATTGTACTGTAGATCCCCCAATAGTCAGCAGGTAATTGAGAAACAGATTTGTAAGGAGATCTCAGTTATCTGTAAGAATAATAAGGTGGTTTTGGTAGGGGATTTTAAATTTCCAAACGTAGACTGGGACTGCCATAGTGTTCAGGTCTTGGATGGAGAGGAATTTGTTATGGGGGTATGAGAAAATTTTGATTCAGTTTGTGGATGTACTGACTAGAGAAGGTGCCAAGTGTGACCGACTCTTGGGAAATAAGGCAGGGCAGGTGACTGAGGTGTCAGTGGGGGGAGCACTTTGTGGCCAGTGACCATAATTCTATTGGTTTTAAAATAGTGATGGAAAATGATAGATTGGATCTAAAAGTTAAAGTTCTAAATTGGAGGAAGGCCAATTTTGACGTTGTTTGACGTTGGATGACTGCTGGATGATCAGGGAAACTGTGGTTTTGGTCAAGAAGAAGGGGGAATGTATGGCAGGTACAGCCAGCAGGGATCGAGTGAATCCTGAGAACAGTATAGATGCAGTAGGAGTACACTTAAGAGGGAAATCAGGAGGGCAAAAAGAGGAGATGAGGTAGCTTTGGCAAATAGGGTTAAGGAAAATCCAAAGGGATTCTAAAAATACATTAAGGACAAAAGAGTAACAATGGAGAGAATATGGCCCCATAAGATCAGCAAGGCCGCCTATGTGTGGAACTGCAGGAAGTGGGGGAGATACTAACCGAGTATTTTGCATCAGTGTTTACTATGGGGAAGGATACGGAAGATAGAGAATGTGGGGAAATAAATAGTGACGTCTTGAAAAATGTCCATAGTACGAAAGAGAGGGTGCTGGACGTCTTAAAATGCATAAAGGTGGATAAATCCCCGGGACCTGATCTGGTGTACCCTAAACTTTGTGGGAAGCTAGGGAAGAGATTGCTGGGCCCCTTGCTGAGATATTTGTATCATGGATAGTCACAGATGACGCGTTGGAAGACTGGAGGTTGTCTAACGTGGTGCCACTATTTAAGAAAAGTGGTAAGGAAAAGCCAGGGAACTTATAGACCGGTGAGACTGATATTAATGGTGGGCACGTTGTTGGAAAGAATCCTGAGGGATAGGATTTACATGTATTTGGAAAGGCAAGGACTGATTAGGGATAGCCAACATGGCTTTGTGTAGGGGAAATCATGTCTCACTAACTTGACTGAGGTTTTTAAAGAAATAACAAAGGGGATTGATGAAGGTAGAGCGGTGGATGTGATCTATATGGACTTCAGTAAGGCTTTCAACAAGATTCTACATGGTAGACTGGTTAGCAAGGTTAGATCACACGGAATACAGGGAGAACTAGCCTTTTGGAAACAGAACTGGCTCAGAGGTAGAAGACAGAGGGTGGTGGTGGAGGGTTGCTTTTCAGACTGAAGGCCTGTGACCAGCCACAAGGATTGGTGCTTTTCATCATTTATTGAAATGGTTTTGATGTGAACATAACAGGTATGGTTAGTAAGTTAGTAGATGACACCAAAATTGGAGGTGTAGTGGAGAGTGAAGAAGGTTATCTCAGAGTACAAGGGGATCTTAATCAGATGGGCCAATGGGCTGAGGAGTGGCAGATGGAGTTTAATTTAGATAAATGTAAGGTGCTGCATTTTGAAAGGTAAATCGGGGCAGGACTTATACACTTAATGGTAAGGTCCTGGTGAATGTTGCTGAAGAAAGATGTTGGAGTGCAGGTTCATTGTTCCTTGAAAGTGGAGTCCCAGGTGGTCAATACATTGAGTATAGGAGTTGGGAGGTCATGTTGCAGCTGTACAGGACATTGGTGAGGCCACTTTTGGAATACTGTGTGCAATTCTGGTCTCCCTGCTATAGGAAGGAAGTTATGAAACTTGAAAGGGTTTAGAAAAGATTTACAAGGACGTTGCCAGAGTTGGAGAGTTTGAACTATAGGGAGGGGCTAAATAGTCTGGGAGGCTATTTTCACTGCACATTGGAGGCTGAGGGCTGACCTTAGAGGTTTATAAAATCATTAGGGGCATGGATAGGGTAACTAGACAAGGTCTTTCCCTTGGGGAGGAGGAATTCAAAACTAGAGGGCATAGGTTTAAGGTGAGAGGGGAAAGATTTAAAAGGGACCTAATGGGGATTTTTTCTCTCAGAGCGTGGTGTTTGTATGGAAGGAGCTGCCAGAGGAAGTGGTGGAGGCTGGTACAAAGACAACATTTAAAAAGGTATCTTGATGGGTATATGAATAGGAAGAGTTTAGAGGGATATGAACCAAATGCTGGCAAGTGGGACTAGTTTAATTTAAGGTATCTGGTTGGCATGGATGAGTTGCGCTGAATGGCCTGTTTCCATGCTGTACAAACCTATGACTCTCTGACTCTAAATGGCAGGTAACTGGATGTTGGGGGTTAATTTACTGATAGAGAGGAGATCTTCAGCAAAGTCTATGTCTCACCTCCCCAGTGTAGAGGAGACTGCCCTGTGAGCAGCAAATACTATAAAGGAGATTGAATGAGGAACACGTAAATTGTTGCTTCACCTGTGTCTGGGGCCTGGGCTAGTGAGGAAGGAGGAGGTAAATGGGCACGTGTAGCACTTTCTGTGATTTCATGGGAAGGTGCCATTGGGGTATGAGGTTGTCTCGAGCTTTCTGTTTATGTTTTACGTCAGATCTCCAGTATCTGCAGTTTTTTCTTTCATTGTAACATTCTGGGGATATTAATTCGAATTCCACCATGGCAGATGGTGAAAGATGAACTGAAATAAAATCTGGAATTTAAAGCTGGTCTGATATCCACTGTCAACTCACTCATTCATGCTCTTTAGGGAAGGAAATCTCACGCGCATCTGGTCTGGTGTACATGTGACTCCTGGCCCACCGTAACATAGCCACAATCCACTAATGAATAAATGTAAAAAAAGTGGTGGGTGTTGGAAATGCTCGGGAATCTATGGGGTTCACTGTTTTAGGGTCAGGGATTGGGAGTCAGGCTTGATCACTGTCCCTGTCCCTGCCCCTTGATAACATCATTGCAGTGCCACATTAAGGGACATTGCCATCCAGTGCGCATCATTTCTTCATCAATGATCACAAAATCTAGGCCTATCTGTTTTTATGATGCTGGCTGAGGCTCTCTCAGACGTTTGAGAGTCTTTAGAATTCCCTTCCTCAAAAGACAATGGATGTAGAATCTTTAAGGCGGAGAAAGATTATCAAAGCCTATCATGGCCTATCTAGGCCTATCTCAGTTATCAAGTGGATGAAAGATTATTAGGGTATGCAAGAATGTACAGTTGATTTTAAAACCAGATCAGCCATGACCTTATTGAATGATAGGGAAGGCTCAAGTGGCCTACTCTTGCTCCTTGTTTGTATGTTTGTTTGAATATTGACCTAGAGCACTGTGGAACGTTCCCCAGCTCTTCTTCAAAATAGTACTTCAGGATTTCTTATGTTCCTTTGTCTAGGAAAGCAGGACCTGAGATTGAACAGCCGATTGAAATGTGACAACTCCAACAGTGCAGCATTCCCTCCATCCACTGGAGAAGCTGACCTGAGTTACATGCGCATTTCTCTGGTATGAAATGATAACCAACGTTTATTCTACATGGAGTATTAACCAGCAATTTCTTCTGTAAGATACTGTGTGCATGCAGCTATGTAAACACTTAAAGGGTTGAGGATAATTGACTGATCAGGAGGATTATTATGGGGCTCTGGGATGTAGTTAGGGGTAGTCAATTCAGGTTGGGTGGGTCAGTGGGACGTTGGGTTGGGTCAGATTGGGGTGTAGTTGAGCATTTTCAGATTGTTTCTGGGTTAGGAAGCAGTGGAGGATCAGTTGTAGAGTTACCCTGATGTTAGGCAAAGTTTTAATTTGTCTAACCTTTCCCGGGTGACTACCAAGGTATACTGTCTGACATTGCTGACTCTAGCTCAGACCTGGAGACATTAGCAGAGGCTTCCAGACAGCAGGAAAATTGCTTAACAGAAATTGAAACTTCCTGGGCAATCCCATATTGGTCGCACATCAGCACTACCACAGGGTCCAGATGTGCAGCTTCAATTGTAAGTTTGGTCTCCCATGATCCAGAGATGGGGTGATTTAGCCCAATGTTGTAATCTAATCAAGAGGTTTAATTGTAAGCCAACTGAGCTTCACTAACAAATTTGAGCGATTGTTCACTGTGCAGGATAATTATCATCCGGGCAACTCCATGCCTTATGACACCTTATTTAAAAATATCAGTTCAAAACACCATGAATTTAATAAAACAGTGACAAGATAATCCTTAGTTATAGGTTGTGGAATTGTGGTCCAAAAGGGAACAAGTTCAGAACAGAGAAAGGATGGAGCTCACAGCAGCCCCTGCCCAGGCACAAGCCAAGACCCAATCCTCCAGATTCGCTGTTGTGCAGTGTACAGGGATCACTGTGCAAGCATGTCAAGGCTGGAGAGCCCACCAAGCTGATCCCTACCCAGGTCCGGGACTGGAAGAAGATCCATTTTATCTGTGTCACCTCCACCTCGGTACCAGCAATGCCAAGGAGCTAAACAAGCCCCTGCAAGGACTCACTGCAGCCCAGGACAGAGCCTTGCTGAACATCCAGGACAAGGTCAGAAACAAACGTTCAAATGGGAGGAAACCTGTGATTGAATGCACTGAAACAGCAACACTGCAAGAAATAGAATCCGTGATTGAAGGAGGACTCCACACAGTCTTCCCCACCCTCCAATCAAAATACAACTTTCTTGATATTTTTGCCCCCATTATTGAGTTTTTGGGGTGTTTTTCTGAGGTTTGCAGATGGAATCTGCACTCTGTCACTGTTTCTAAACCTGATAGCTTGTAAATGTATCATCATCTATCTCCCAGTGAAATTAATATTGACAAAAAGATAGCAATTGACACTGAAATGGATCAGTACCAGAAAGAGATTAACCCAGACCAGCAGCAATCTGTGGGAAGGTGAAGGAAACTGTTTGGTTTTTCAAGTCTGATCGAGAGATAAAAATCAGGACTTCAGGCTATATAAACAGTGGATCTTTCAAAAGGAAAATGGAAGCTGTTTATGTGAATCCCAATAACAACGGATGATGCACTGACTACTATTGGCATACTGAATATTGTACAGATTTGTACAGGCTTTGCAAGCAAACATGGTAGGAATTTGTACTTCTGAAGTTGATTTAAGTACTGCTCATGTTCCTGTTGCAGTAATTCAGTGTTTGGAGAGAACTATAGAGAAGGTACCTCAACAAGACTCAATATACAACAGTACAGTCAGCCAATATGCCCCAGTATTCACTAGTTAACCTATTAGCAGCAAACATTGGAGAAAAGCAACCTGTGAATGAAGAAGCAGCAGGTAGCAAAGTAAGCCTTGCCAAGGCCAGGCTCAGAAGTCACCTTAGTCAAGGCTAGAACTTCCATTCTCCAGGGGAGATGGAGTGGAAAAGTTATAGCTGCAAGAGGGTGTAGGGAGATGAAAGGAGATCATATGGCTAGTTGGGGGAGAAGGAGGCTACAAGCACATGGGGTAGTGGAAGGAGGAGGTGGGAGAGAAGAGGGGCTGTCAGTGGGTAGGAGGAGAGATGGAGGCCATGGCCATGGGGGAGACACGGTAGCTGCATGGGGTGGGCTGTGGGAAAGGAGGAGGTTGCAAGCAGCAAGGGAAAGAAGAAATTTGCAAGGTGGGAAAAGAAAGAAAGTTTAAACCTGTCAATTAGGAAACATTCAACTAGCCAGGATCCAAGAACATTTTAAATCAATGATGTAATTAATTCCTTACAGATGAATATAGAATCTCTAGTTTAAGGTTGTGTAAGTTCAGGAACAACTGTACTTGGAAAACTGCAGCATGTCCTACTGTAATGAATGCTCTGCCAATTGTTATTTATATCAGTAAAAAAAAATTATAACTGCCAAGTTAAAATATCTCCGCTTTGTGCATATAGAATGGAAATACATGAGCTGCAACCTCACCATTCAGGAAGATGTATTTAAGATGATGCCTTTTGAAATAACTCCAGAGGCTGGTATCCCATCACCAAGTCACCCCTTTTTCACACATGGGGAGTCCTTGACACTGGATCCAGGTCCTTCAGAGCCAGCTCTCAGAGAACAGAACCTCAGACACTCCTGATTATATCTGTCAGCCAGTGCTTCCTGACTGGGGCTGTTAATCTGGTCCAATCAGGGAATTCCTATTCTGAGGTCAGCCTTGTTGACCTTGTTGCAATCATGACACCTTTCTTTATGTAAAAGAATGTGTTTGTAATTTGAAAATTGCTAAACTTATGACAATTTAAAAACTGTGGTGTTAATGCTTATTAATGCTTTCTTTGTGTGTTATGAGTTTAAGCTTAATAGAGAATTTGTTATTGAGGATATTGATGAATTTTTACAATTCTGCTTCTGTGTGAGTTCAAATACTCTGTCAACATTGATCTAAAAGGTATTGTCACTATGGAACTGCATCATATGAGTTAGTGGGCATGACAAACCAGCCCTCAAAAATCAATAAAATGGTCCTCAAGAAAATTTTAGGAGGAGCCTTTGACCTTTGCACCCTAACACTAACCTGGTTACACTTCTGAACTATGCAACATGACAATATGTATTTGCATCTTGAATTGTGGTTGACAGCACAAAATGTGCTTTGTCATAACTTGATCTGAAATCCTGGCCTCTGCAACAGGACCATGGGAACAGGAGGAGGCTATTCAGCTTTTTCTGCTTTTTAGTTAGATCATGGTTGATCTGTATGAAAACAGACCATCACCTGATTCTGTTCTTTCAATATAAGGTTGAAAGTTTCAATTGACTGCCATCACCAACAGCATTTTTGGAGGGACAGAATTCCAGATTTCCACCACCCTCATGAGTTGAAGCCTTGAGATAACCCTGGAAAGACCTCTATTTTAAAGAGCTTTGTTCTTGAGTCTTATCCCACCATCATCAGAGGATGTAATTTTTCTCCATTTATCCAATACACATAAATTTTTAAATCATCTTAAGCACTTCATTTAGATTAACCAGTCTAGGGGAGTGAACAGTGTCTGGGATCAAGAGGCATGGTGAAAAGAAGTGGGGTGAACCACTGGTTGATGAAGGTAAATATTCAGAAATTTTCATTTTCACTCCTTTAAGAAGGGCCCTGGGCCCAAATCATTACCTTGGCCTCTTAGATTGATCCCACCTCAATGTACTCAAGGACTGGTTAGTCGCTTTGTTATTGCACGGGGATATGTTAAAAACCATTACCAAAAAAATGAAGGAAGGTGAAGAGATTTTCTTTTTTTGCGGAATTTGTGCAGAAGATGTGGTGAGAGCAGAATATGTAATAGGTTTTATAAGAAAAGTAAAACAGAGAAAAAAAATGCAGGTTGAAACTAATTGGCAAAACATCTCGAGGGAAGGTGAGGAGAATTTGTTAATATCTGGGATTCACTGTCTGAAAGGACGATGGAGGCAGGTTCTATAGTATTCTTCAGAATAGAATTGAATGACAATTAGAAAAGGGAGCATTTTCAGGATTGCAAAGAAAGCTGGGACTACTTGCCTCTTTCAAAGACCTTGTACATGTATGATTTACCAGGTTTCTTTGAAGAGATGACTGTTCACCAGGACTCTGGGGAGAACTCCCTTGCTGTTCCCAAAATAATATCATGTGATCTTTGACTACCTGAGGTGACCTCAATTTAAGGCCTCATTCAAGAGCTGGCACCTCCAACAGTGTAGTGTTCTCTCTGTGCTGACCTCAGGAGAAGCTAGATTAGAAGCTCATGTTTCTAACGTGTGATCAGTCTGTTGATTCTTTGAGTTTTTCTGTAACTATGTGGTATAAATTCTTTTAATTAGGATAGAGTAACTCTTAGGAATCACATTGCAAGCTGTTGACAGTGTACTTGCTAGCTGATATGTCCCTAAAACACTGTACAGACATGGGCATCCAAAATATGCTTTCACAGAATAAACAATTAACTGTTCGCCTTCCTAGCCAGGTCATTATCAACTCCTTTGTCTATCCAACTGCTCTTCTCTCTTTTCAGGCTCTATCCTATCGTGTACTCCCTACCCCATCCCCCTCCCTATTTTCTGCATATAAACCAATGTTTTCCCACCTACCATCAGTTCTGAGGAAGGGTCACCGGACCCGAAACGTTAACTCTGATTTTTTCTTCACAGATGCTGAGCTTCCAGCAACTTATGTTTTTTGTTGCTGAATAATTTTGCTTTGTTTCAGTTTCCTTAATTTGCTTCTAACTTTGACTCAACACAAGCAGAAATGGAATGGGCAGATGGTTGGGAATTCTAAGTGGCCATTTCCTCACCTTCAGCGACCTAAGTGCTCATCTTTGCAATTGCCTTAAAACGGTGCTTTGTAGATTCCGATGATTCACTGGAGGCAGACTGCATTGTTGGATGATACCTGTGTAGCCTGTGTGGAGTTCTTCAATGAGAAAGATGAGGAAACCTGTACTGGCCATACCAGACATGGCCTGCAGTGGTTTCTGCCCTGAGGAATCGAAGTTAAGCCTGTGTGACACCACAATACCACACTGCTGAGTGAACAAATCTTTAGCCCTGTCACTTTGGTATGCCCATGATAATTTGTAATGTAAGAAATGCTGTAGCCAGTTTGCATGCAGTATCACACAATAGTATAACCACCAAGTAATCCTTCTCAGAGATGTTGGTTAAGGGAGAAACATTGTTTGGACATTGGGATAACTCTCACATTCTTCTTCAAAACTGTGACCATGGGGTATTCCACAGCCACCTCAGAGGGCAAACAGAGACTCATTTTAATGTCTCATTCAAAAGGTGGTATTTCTGACAATACAGCACTCCCTCAGCACTGCACTGGGGTGTCAGCCTGGATTCAGAAGTAAGCGATGTACCTTTTCAGATCTCTACCATTTTCCAGGTCATTGATCTGAAACATGGGATGGAATCCTCCCAATCCCTGAACAGCATTGGCATTGGTAAGTCATTTGGGAAAATAGAGGACAATTGAGAATCTCATTTCTGCCAATATGTAGAAAAAAATGCCCGATTGTCCAACTAAGTTTTGAATGGCAAGGCTACTCGTGCTAGTGAGCAGCGAGGCTTATTTGCATTCAATTGCATGCATTAACATGTCATTAGTACCTGATTTTACCTCCGTGATATGCAGTTTCTCATTCTCCCACACATTGGATAGAAACTGTGATTGTGAGGTGGGGAAGCACAACATATCAGGTGGGAAAATGATAGCAAATTGGAAGACGTAGGTTACTGCAGGATTGGGCTCATTTGAAGTCACAATCCTCCTGGCTTTGACAGGAGGACAGTGCAGCATGATGTTTGGCATGACCCAGCTGTAGAATAATGTGAGCCGTAGAAGAAGATTCCCTTAGCTACGACTCTAAGATGACATGACGCCTAAGGATGGGTAACCTGTGTAGCAATACATTATTGAATGTGCACCTGTATTTGCAATGAAGTGTCAGCCATGCCACCTAGATGTCCTCCAAAGCATTTCTTTTTAATTCCCGTCCAATTACATGCATGGTGAGGGGCAACTGGTACTTAGTAGCACATGACTGGATGCATGGCTGGGCTTAGAAAGTGATGCCAATGCCAGAAATCCCAGGAGATCCCGGCAGTCTGCCTCTGGTGAACAGGGGGCCATTGAGGTGTGGTGCATATAACCTCAATGAGGCAATAGTCTGTGAATAATATGAGAAATCTCGTTAGGGTTCCTGAAGAGAAACCCTCCAAAAAATGTGCCAAAAATTAATACTGAGCCAATTCTGTTTGTCTCTCTGTCTGCCTCCAAAGATCCTTAGCTGATGCAGGGAGAATCTGAGATGGCAGACAGCAAATTCATAGTTTGAGACTGGGCTGCTACAGTTCATAAGGTGAAGTGATTATGATGCAATCAGATTGCTGTTCCTAACATTTATCTTGTAGCTTTACCTGTTAAGGCTGAGTCACTGCGTGGTAATATCAATGGAGGGGTATAGTCATGCAGACTACACTTAATATGGATGATTCATGCACTGATTCTAATGTAATTCATTACGATTAATATTTTTTGACAACATACAGGGGACAGATAAGAATTAATTGATGAGATTTTAAGGATCTCATTCTGAATCCAGCATACTTAAGGAAAAGTTTACCCTTGAACGAATCCATGCTGCAATACTCAGATAATCTGAGGGCAATTTGGGAAGTGTGTAATAACATAGTCTTAAAGATCATCTCTGTCTATCAAGTAGTACATTCAGCAGGAGATGGAATAATGCAAATTTGCTTCTGAGCTATTCATAATAAACATTAACATTTCAAAGAGAAAAAGGCACATGCAATAATTATGACTTCAGCTTTGATGTGACAGGTTCATTGTGTCAACTCAGTAACACTTCACATATGACACTCTCTCCTGGAAGACAGAGCAAAGTGATTCTCATTGGAGTTGCCAATGCTTCAGGAATTGAAAATTAATCTCCAGGATACTGCTGCAAGCAGGAGAATAACCATAGACAAATTAGTGAGCTGTGTTTTATGAGAATTATTTGAAAATTTTTGTCTGTTGGTTATACAATTATTGGACATGGGAGAAATGCTATTTCATTGAGAGTCGATGATAAGGTATTGAAGAGTCTGATCTGATTGTTCATGGGAAGACAGTGTATGTGTCATGAGGATGGAGCAGGTGATTGATGGTGGGATTGTGGGGCAGGTGATTGGAAGCATGGTGGTTACACCTCCAGGTATACGTCCAAACTGAGTTGGCAACTCTATATCAAAGCTCATTTGTTTCAAATGTGCTGGAGGGTTTGACTGCTTCAGGTGAAATACTATAAGTCGTCTTTTAAAATTCAGGTTCGATTCCTGAATTTGTGACTTTAAGTGAAGCAAAGTATTAAAGCTAGAGTTGAGTTCCTCGAGACACTTTTTGCTCAGAATAAACAATGTACAGATTGAAATACTGTATGATACCGGCTGTATACACCTGGCTGAAATAGCTTGTAAATTAAATGACTAAATGTAAAGAAAACACAGTACAATTGATGTGAACCTGTCACATCAAAGCTGAGACAAAAAAATGAAAGAACCGAGCATGCTGTAAATCAGAAACAAAAACAGAAGTTGCTGGAAAAGCTCAGCAGGTCTGGCAGCATCTGTGAAGGGAAAACAGAGTTAATGTTTCGGGTCTGGTGACCCTTCTTCAGGACTGTACGATTGGTGATTCAGGATGTTTCTAAGCAGTAACTTAAGTACAGGACTTCATTCTAAATTTTGAACAGCAGGCAGCAGAGAAAGCCAGCATG